GGATGGAACAGGCTCCCACATTTAGACTGGGTTGGACACCCCGACGGCATCCAAAATCCCTCGATCAGACCCGGGTTGGGTAGGGTTTCTAGCATTCCTCATGAGTTCTCCTCCTTTGATTTTTTGTTGCGGGGGGGGGGTTCACACAGCACAAAAGTTGAGTGCGTGTGAGCCCGGGGCCTTGTGGGATCGGAGGCTGAGACGTGGACCTTGTCTTCGTGAAGAACATGACACAAGACATAATGTAAGGGCCTACCTCATTTGTGGGGGTTGCGGGGTGCTCATCAAAATGTGAAAGATACCCTCTCAAACGAGACTCCCCTAGCAGGCAACTAGGGGCCTCATAATCAAGTAGGCTCCCATAATTTTGTTTGGCTTCTTTTAACTTGGCTGGTTTTAAACATCCCGAAAGACGACTTTCTGAGTACCTCTTTTTTGCGGCCATGCTCTGGGCCACAAGATAATCAACCCCAAGGTAGAACATGAATTTTCGTCTCCTCGAATTGCCAACCGCTCGAATGGATCCCCTCGCCCGCTCAACGGATCCGGTGGCCTATTCTCGAATCGATCGCTGCGCATTGATCGGCCGCTTCAACTCGACTCTTCGACTCCGGGCGCCAGGCCCATCATCTGCTGCAGCCAGCCTTCGGCCGCCTGCAGGTTCCCCGCCGCCACGTGCGCCAGCAGCACCTGCCGCGGCGACCCCCGGCCGCAAGCGGCCGAAAGGTTTGGACGGTGAAACGACCAGCCGCTTCTTGTGGCCGTTTGGAGTCTCCTGGAAGGATAGGGTTGTAAACCCAAGCAAAAGAGTTGTACACAACTACACAACCCAGTAAACATGAACCCTCGGGCTCCTGAAAGGTTCCCAGCCTGGGAACCTCGAAAGGCCTTCATTTTTGAGCTTCCTCGGTCCCTTTCTTTCAGGCCTAAAGAATCAGAATGGCTTTGCAGCGTACGTCAAGTCATGATAAGGGGAAATGCTACAATAAGGATTGCCAAAGGAGACATGTCCTTCCTTCACGTGCCTTGAAAACTCCCTTTTGCCCATGATCGGCCTACTGCCAGAAGCCATAGAATTCCAATGTGGGACCTTTGAGCATCGCCCTTCAGGGAGCCCTGTTGAACTTTGGGCAATGTTTCTTTCTTCCCGAGTCAGGGGCAGCGGGAGGGGGCTCAGAGAGAAATCGATCTTCGACAAGCACTGCAACCCATGGATTATTGTATTGATATCAGGCTGTAGAGGAAAGGCCTAAACCCTCATCTTTTGTACACGAGTGGGTGTCTCGAGGGTTCCCTTTTGAGGTTGGTTAAAAGGAAACCAGAAGGAAAGCAACCGGTTTTTTTTTGGGGGGGGGCCCTAAGAAGAGACACACACGCAAGTGGGCCGTGCTTTAGAAAATGGCCCGACCAATTCTTCAGGACCATCGACTGAACCCCTCATGGTGAGGAAAGATCCACCCGGAAGACGGCGAAGGGAGCCCCCTCTCCATACATTGCCCGTGCAACATCACAGATTAAAGATTCAAAAATATAATCCCCCCCATTGGAGGGGCCCAAAAAGCCCAAAGAAGTAGTAAGTTCAGATAGGGGCCAGCAACCGACTCCTATTGGCCATTTTAGTAGATGGTTCAAGTAGCTAGTTTACTTAGGGTGGTAGTAGGGTGGGTTGGAAGGCCAATATGGGTTCTGGGCGCTGCTCAATTGGCAACGGCGGGCTTGAAAGTGTGTCCCGCTACCGTGCGTTTGTTTGAATGGATACGTGCGCGTCTAACACTCGGAGCTGGCACCCTTTTTGGGTTGGTAAGGGAAGCCGAAAGGAAATCGGGGGGCCCAATTTGGACATAATTCCCACTTGGGCTCTCCAAGCTCCCAACTCCAGCAGAAGTCCTCAATTTGCGCAAAGCCCCCGCTGTTCTATTACCTTTTAGAGGAAAGTAGTCCTCCAGGAAGTTTTCGGTCGGAGGGTGGGGCTTCCCTGCCAACACAAACGTGCTGATGAAACACGTGTTATACCTGACGGGATGGGATTCGGGATGTGAAAACGGGGGTGCTTTTGGCTTCACTTCAAGGCGCAACGCCATCAAGGGAAATAGCAGGGATAGGACCGATGGGATTTAGACCTTCCCCGGCTTTGCAGGCGCCACGGTTCCATTGCGACACCGCCCCCAGATCTCCCATATGTGCGTGTGTGCGTGTCGTTTTGAGGGTACCTATTCGTTGGTGGTTTTGAAGGGAAACCAAAAGGAACACCACCATTTCGGGGGTCCCCAAAAAAAAGACAGACCAAGGCACAACTTCGAGCCCCTTGCAGCCCACGCCCCACCCCCCACCTCAGAATAGGCCAACGACACTTGCTCCAGAGGGAACTCGTTGTGCCTCCACCTCCGAACGAGTCTGAAGACCTTCGGACCCAGAAGCCAACTTGTCGGACGCAAAGTGCACTTGTTTGGGTCCACTAGAAGCCTCTTGGAAGGGATTCCCTAAGCATAGCAAGTAAAGAATAGGGTCCCCTAATTCGCCCTGACGTTGCAACGGCCCCTCAGGGCAATGGCCCCTAGAGGAAACTGATCTGACTGATAATTACGCCACATTGGGGGGAGGAAGGGTCAGTTTACTTGTTTTCCCTTTCGGATTTGTCACCTGAAATCGAAACCAGGATAGTTAGAAGCTTGCTATACACCAAAAGCAGAATCGCCCGCCCTTAGCACATGGCGGGTTGTCGAAATATGGTAGAGCGTGTGTTGGGGCCTCCTTTCATTAACACCTGGCTGCCTTTGGAACCTGCCCCCTTTGTTGCATGTATAGTGTTTTCCCTTTCTAGACTGGTACTCCCCTGATTGCCCACTTTGACCGGTTCAGAATGGGACCCTTCGACTGGAATCGGGCTCCCATTACATTTGCGCCCCATCGGAAACAAAAACAAAAAAAAACCTTCACCGAGGCTCTGCCCTCATGCTCTGGCTCGGAGTCAACCTGCCTGTGAGTGACGTCTTCGGCTGTGGATTGACAAATTCCGCACCCGGCACCAGTAGTTGGTCAGTCCCAGTTGTCCATAGGCCATGATTCAGAGTCCAGAAATAGGGAAGGTGAGCTCGAAAACACATAAAATAGGCAGCTGTACTTTTGCCGTTTGGTGTCCCTTCAAACCAACCTGAAACAGGGTACCTGGAGTCTCCATGACCCTTAAAAAATGGGGTCAGACCGCAAAAAGAAACAGGTCAGACATGCCTCATTGTTCGAAGGGTCAGAAGGAGACTTCAGGTCTCAAAACCAAACGAGCTACACCCAGATCCCCCTGATTGCCGCCTAGCGGTGCGCTGCAGGTGATCCACCCAGAACTCGGCGTTCGACCAGTCCCCGGCTTTGGCCAAAGCGTTCAGCAGCATGTTGTAGGCGTAGACCTCCCCCCCCCCCCCCGCCAAAAACAACAAAAACAGAAGAAACCCGAAGGGCCTAGGGCTGATATGTACACATACTCATATATATATATATATGTATATATATATACATATATGTAGGTCAAAATGGTGGTAGTCGTAGGTGACCTGCCAAGAATGAGCGACCAGGCCAATTTAGAGCGGGTATCCGGTTGGAAATGGCTATAGGTGCAGACCACCTTCCAAGTGCTGAATGCCACGCAACAAATTGCCAGCATACTCCAGAAGAAACGCACACGGCTTCAGAGCCGACTTGCAAGGCCATAACCTCCCGGTGATTGGTTCTAAATCAGTATTGGACAACAAGAGCGCCAAAACATGTTTTTGCGGGTAGGAGGTTGGGAATGGTTGTAGTTGATGTACGTGTCTATACATATGTGTATATATATATATGACATATATATATATGTATACAGTGTGCAAAGACGTAAGCATATACTTCCATAAAGTGGTAAACATGAACATAGGGATACAAAAAGGGCCTCGACTATACCAGGGGAACATGGACATAATTTGTTTACTATCCACTTCTCCTTGAAAACTAACGAAACAAATGTGAGTTGAGGTTGTTTGGTTACTACACGTATGTGAGTTCACCAACTACATATAAGGTTCTTCAACTATCCCTGCAAAACATGGACACATGTTTGCTCGTGCTTTCTCTTTTTTTAATCTCAGGATGTTGGGCCGCAAGCCAAAAGTTTGTCTTTGGGTGCAAAAAAACGCTAAAAACAAAACTCTTGGGTGCAAACCTCTTGGGTGCAAAAAACCAATAGCATATCCGAGAGGTCTTTGGTTGCAAAAAAAACAAGCTCTGCGGTCAAGGCGCGTCCGGGGTGAGGCGGTTCCGCAGCAGCCGCCGCGCCAGGCGCTGGGCGAGGTCCGCGTCCCCGCTCTGCGCGCAGGCCTCGAGGCGTGTTTTGAACGGCCAATGCCAAGAGGGTCTTTGAGTGGACGAAGACAATGTAGGTATGTAGTGTGTATGTATATATATATATATACATGTGTGTGTGAACTATATATCTATACACGTGTGTACATATATATATATATATATATAACATGTGTGTATATGCTACCAAGCCGGAAACAAGGAAATCCCAAGTAAGGGGCCTCCATCATGTGTGGGCTCGTTTGACCCCCCAGGTAAGCTCCGTCCAAGTTGCCCAGATGAACAAAAAGGATCTTTGGCTTTAAGTGACTGAAACCATTCCTGAACCCCCAAAGCTCCTCCGAACCACCCAAGCTCTCAGCGCGGGGAAACAAAACTTGCCAAGTGAAGATGGGGTCAAGCAAGGTGTGTTTCCAAATAAGGGGGCCACCCCCAAAATGATTGGTTTCCTGTCTTTTCCTGAGTGGATTGGCCACAAAGGCCCCCAAACTGCCCAAACTGTTGGTTTGCCACTAAAATGGTGTTCCTAAAAAGCAGAAAGTCCAACAACTCACCGAGTGACTTTTGCCTTGCCTTTCAACCAACCCATTAAAGAAAAAAAAACACCAGACCCAAACCTCGACCTCCCCTCGCAGCTCGCTCAGTCCCCCCCCAGGTCGGTCGCGCCTTGATCACCTGCTTGTAGCAGTTGAGGTCAGGCTCGATGCCCAGCTGGCGCGCAGCTTGTCCAGGCGGCTCGCCCCCCCCCCCCCGACTATTTGGTGGGTGTCTGCTTTAAGGCGCAGGGCAGGTTACGGCGACGCCAAGGGTGGCACCTTCTGATGGCCGTTTTTTTTGTCCAGGACCTGGGCTGTGGGAGTGTCCCACTTCTGTGGTACCAATGGAAGACCTTCCCTGTGACTACTTCTCCGATTGTCGGGGAGTGGCTTTTCTGGTATCACAGAAGTGGCAACCAACCCCTCGTTCCCACAACCCTGACCAGGCTGTCCTCTGTTTATCTGGTCTCCTTTTGTAGGCGAACTGATTCATTGGTAAAATCAAGTCGCATTCGCGCACAAGGATTGCAAAAACTCGCAGCAGTCTCAGCCAGGATCTTGATTTCATCCATTTCCTCTGCAATGTCTAATCTCTTCCAAAGTCCTTTTCATCTTTTCCTGGTACTTTGCTATCGGTCTCGAGCTTGTGCTTCGCTGAGGAAGAAAAAAAAGCGGGTTCTCGGGGCCGTGTCTTTTTCAGGGCATGCCTTCCGTTTTTTTGGAGTTCATGTAGGGTGCTCAGCCCTGCACAGGCCCCCTAGGAGCGAACCCTAGAGCCAAACACGCCCCTAAAACCTTGGGAAAAATGCTGGAACTGGACACCCAGGTACCCTTTGCCCAATCTGTTGAACTTCAAGGGCGGTATCAGCTTCCAGCGTAAAGCTACAGCTGCACTCAAGGGAATTGTCAGGATCGATTTCCAAGCAAACAATCATGGAAGTGGACCTCTTGGGGGGCCGTTTCAAGAGGCTGGCGCGCAATCTTCCAAAGCCCTCCTGTCCACTTACATGATTGTTGGAATCAGGGCAATCCTAAACTCAATTCGTGAGTGGTTTCCGCGGAAAAAGAGTCCAAACACGCCCAAACAGTTTGCTGAATCTGTTCCCCAGAATATCAAAAGGAATTTGGGGGAATTATGCAAAGATACTCGTGGGCAAAACGCCGCATTGTGCTTGTTCACATTTTATCATCTCACTTGCTGAGTCGACCGCCCAAAACAGGTCTGCACTTTTTGCTGCAATGCAAGGGTCTTCCCAGAAAGTATCAAGTCCAGGAACTCAGGGATTCAGGGAGCGGGCGCATCTGCCGAAGTAGCAACCCCAGCGGCCCTCAAAGCCGCCCTGCAAGAACCGCGCAAACGATTTGGGTGTGTGTGTGTGTCAAAATAGGGATTCGGGCCCCAACAATGGAGTTCGGTGTTGCGTTGGCTTCCCTTCAACAATAACAAGCCACATTCCTCGGGGTCAAACGCCTACGTATAGTTGGCTTGCCTAAAAGCCCTGGGCCCAACATTTTCTCGAGCGCCTCTTCTGCTTCCAGCAGCCACTGGGTGGCGCCGGTGGCATTGCCCACCTCCCGAAATTTTCCAGGGCGTGCCCAGACCCCCAGATCCATGGGGGTATGTTGAAGGGATGGGAAAGGAATTCAACCCATTGGAGGTCTGGGAGAATGGGGTACTTTAAAGCCAAAATTAGTCAGCGCCAAAAGATGGGTAAGGCCCAAAAACTAGAATAGGGTGGGATACGTTGAAACCACGTTTAGGCATCACCAGAAATGGGTAGACTCCAGAAACCAGTCTTCTTTTCTTTGTTGTTGGGGGGGACCTCCTTTGGTGGAATGAAGAAACTTCCTGTTCCGTCTTCTCCAGAGAGTCAGGCTCCACGCTAATTGCTCTACTTCTAGCCTTGCCCTGCCCATTCTCTTCAAGGATCCTTCCCGTCTGCCCAAACCCAACGGGAGATGGGGAGGGGGCGTTCTGAACAGAAGCATGAGTGAAAAAATCAGAATCATAACAATTCGCCAACCGATCGCAATCAAAAAGATCCGCAACGCGGTGGAATGCAAGAATCGCTGCACCTGGAGCCATGGACTCCGTTTGTCTTACCTTCATTAGCGAGACAAGGGGAGACGAATGGGTGGCCAGTGGTGGATACTTTGCATCTCTCATATGTCCCAATTGACAAACCCACAAAAAAAAAGTTTGCACACATCTGAAGCATACGCTGCAACTCCAAAGGCATATGTGAGATGACAACCATTCGGATTGTCGCAAATCCGGATGGAAGCAATTGAAATCCTGGTTGAGCAATAGGGGCTGTCCCCTTTCAGTGGGAATCCTAGTAGGATGGGCCTATCAGTTAGAAGGTGACTCATCCAAATTGGGGGAATTGTACCATCTTTCACCAAACTGTAAGTGATGTCCTCGAGAACATATTGGCAGTCAATCGCGCAGTCCTGCAGGAAGCCTCCTGCTGGACCGCGCTACCAGGGCATAAGCTGAGAGGGGGGAATACTTTGATCCGGGACTTCGCTACGTTAGTAAGCTTCTGGGCCAGCACTGGGCATGCGTCAGAATTAGGGAGGCCCCCCCAAAATTGGTGTTTTGTCCTTTCGGCCCTCCCTTTAAAGCAATGTCAAAAGGGTATCCCAAAAACCACACACCCAAAATGGTGGCAGGCGATGTCCAAGACGCTGAAGAGGATCTCGTAGCAAAGAGATGCTGTACTCAAATTGTTACCCATCCAACAGAACGGGCACTCACCACCACAACCACAAATTCCCTTGAGACGGGCGAAGACTCCAGCCCTCTCGTTTGTTTCACTCTCGCCTTTGCAAAGGCGCTGAGCATCGTTCCGAAGGTGACCACATCCTTGGCAGCGAGTTCTCTTGGGTCTGAATAACCTTCACATCCGCCAAAATGGAAATCAATAACATTCCTATCCCCGAACACGGAACCCAGGGACAAAGGGCTTCAAAGTCAGGCTCCATGCCGGCTAAGGGAGATTGGAATGGGCTGTTCTGGGCATGGTGAAGCTGAGTGGAGTTGTGGCCATTGGAGCTAAGGAACAAATTATCTCGCCCGGTATGGCTCTGTCACTGGCGCTGTTGCGCGCGGGCCGTGGAGCGCGCTGAACACCCTACCACTCGCGGCACGCCACGGGGTTCTATATCTGTCCTTGCCACCCCACCAAGAGGAAACTCACCGAAAAATCGGCCCAACAAAGATGGTTAAAACCACCCTGGGCGCAATTAGGGGGTCTGGAAATGAACAATAGACCCTGTAATATATCCTAAATCCGCGGGAAATGTAGACAGCCTTCGTCTCTTTGTCCAAGGCTCCGGTGCTACCTCCACATCGGCCATTCCTAAGCCAAGGGCAGAAGGCCCACTGAGGATTGCTTTTTTTGGGCGAGTTACAAAACCGCCTTTTCAGTTTGCCCCTGGGTGGTTGTGCATTTTTGGGCTTAAGCTTGAGCTGGGGGTTGATCCATATTCCTGGCCCAAAAATGACTATGGGTCATCATCCCAGGCAAAGAACCTTTGCTGGAAAGCCTTGGTTGGCGGGTTTGTGCCGGGTCAGGCTTGCTCCAAAGAGGGTAGAACAGCGGCCGGCCAAGGGAAAGCCCTTGCGGGAAAAGCACAAGTGTCCGCCGGGAGCCACCCTTTGGCTTGGTTTGGAGGGTACCTTCCTAGGAGACCTGATGGAGGGCCCCGCTCCCAGTGGCATCAGGGACAAAGGGCAACCTTTTGCTGGTACATGCAACATCGTATTTTCAGATTATGTTTCATAGTTCTTCTACCCCATGCTTGTTCCAGTTTTAGAGACCCCACTTGAGTCATGAGCAAAGCCTGGCATTAAAATAGTCTACCCAGAACCGTATACAGAATCCGAATTATGGTTGGGACTATTTCTTACTAGCCTGCATCTTGCCGGGCCTTGATTTTGGCTCAGGTTGCAAGTTGATGAAAAGGGGAAAAAGGTGATTTGATGGTTTCAATGGATCACCGGGTTCCCGACTTGCAAGGTCAACGTCAGGTGTCAAGCAAGTAGGTTATAACCCTGGTCCAATGTGGTGTCACTGGCGAAAAAGAGGGTCCGGACCAATTCCCCGTCCCCTGTTCGTTTCCTTGGAGTACACAACAGGGGCAAGAAGAAACCATCCGCGGCAAAACCTGGCAAGAAACCCGAAGGGTTACCTATAGTGACAAAAACGCCTGGAAGCACTGAGAAAGGAAACAAGTGCACTGGGATCAGCACCCCGAACTCATAAACACCCGTTCAAACCTCGCCGTTTTTTTGGTCGGAGGCGCGCAGCAGCACGCCCTCCGCGCCGCCGGTGTCGCCGCCACTGGCAGCAGCCGACATGAGGATGTTGAAGCCTCAAATGTCGACGCATCGAATTGTTGGAACGCCCTCGAAAACGGTTGGTGGACGCGAATCCCGATTTCAATGATGTCCACCACAGAGTCCAACCAGCAAATATTCATACCCATATGTTTTGTTGAGTATCAAAGTTCTAGCCGTACTTCCCATTCTCCTCACGGTTCCGTCTCTTCAACCATTCCCGGGTGGTTGTTGGAGAGAATGACGCGTGAAGAGAACTCCAAACCCCTAACCCTCCTGGCTCAATAAGACTGGATTTGGGGGGCGGATGCGGCGAGCCGGGGTTGGGAGCTTGGATGATCCAGGAACGACTGCTCGGGCGTTGAGTTGTGTGCCTCTAAATTTCCCAGCGATTCCGTTTTCCTGGTTTTGCAGGTAACGAAGGGCAAATGGCTGTTATACCTACCATAGTGGTAACTGGAACCGACAGGACTAGGCTTATCACATGAGCAGCTAACAATATTACCACAACGGCCCGAGAGAAAATGAACCGCCAAATCGATACCCGTCAACCTGCAACCCGGATGGAAAACGGACCATCCACCCAGGCTCAAACTCGGAAAACCCCCGAAATGGGCTTCGTCTTCCTTCCCCAAGGCGCTTAGACCCGCAAAGATAAAAGAACTAGTCAACCACCCCCCCTTCAAGCCCCCCCCCCAATCCTTCAACCATCCCATCCGACCCCCCTTCAACCACCCCCACAAAAAATAAAGTAAGGGGAAAAGAAAGAAGGAAGGCAAAACTGGGGAAAAAAAAACGCGCCGCAGCCCCCGCCAAAATCTCCCTCCCCCTTTCGCACGCCAGGAAGCTCACCAGGTCCGGGCGGAAGCCGGCGTCCAGCATGGCCCGGAACCTCAGGTGGCGGACAGGGGACCTCTTTAAACGAGGCGTGGCGTCTTAGGGCAGCCGCTTTAGGTTGATTTAATGGGAAAGAATTTTGAGGGAAATAATTTTACTGGATTTTTAGGTTGGTTTTAGGAGCCAACGGAAAGGACAGCAGTTTGGGGGATCCAAATCCCTGTTTTGAAGCAAGTGGGGACTTTTCAGGGAAACCGGCCTGTGCAAGATATCTCCTGCGATAGTCTTCTATTTTGTTGGCAACAGGGTCTGGTTGCCCTGCAAAGCCGGTCTCTACCCTGGGCCTTATGTGTTTGTCCTCAATATTCGCATTGCTCCCTCTCTTCCGATTGAGTGGATTGGCCCAGAAAAACAAACCTTTGTTTGCCACGAAAATTGTCTTTCCAAAAGTATAAAGTCCAGGAACTCAGGGTAAAGGCTGTTCTAGTTTGAAGGTGGTGGCTGAACCTGTCAGAAGAGATTGCTCTGGAATAACTTGCCAATCGCCAAACCAGGTAAAGTCTGAGTGGAGCTTGGGACAAACGCCTCCGAAACGGAAAACACAAAAATCACCTTTTGCAGATCACGTTCCACCGTAAGCTATATAATCCGAACATAGCACCTCAAAGGACACAACCCCCTTCGTTTCGGCCAAAGGCCAGTTCATGCAGAAAGCCTTGCGGCCCGTTCGCATTTTCGTTGACCCTCCCCTAAAGCCCTTGGGAGGGAAGTTTGTATACCTCGAGCGGATTCAGACTTATGCTGTGCCGCGCAAATGGTCTTAGGTACACCAGGAGTGAGGGAATCCAAAGGATCCGCACGAGGGGACGATGTTTGCCGAACAAGAACCCAAAAACATCCATGGTCCAAAAAAGAGAAATAACTCTCCCCCCCCCCAAAAAAAAAAAAAAAAAACGTCCGCAAAGAAAAAGCATCCTCATTCCCAAAACTAAACGAAGCACAAACACATACCCCCACACCCACCCCTCTCCCCCCCAAAAAAACAAGAACAACTTCCGCAGCCCCATCTCCATTCCCAAACAGGATTCCGTTGGTTGTTGGTTCCCCCAAAGAGACGTTTTAAGCCCAGGGGGCGGTCCATGTATCCCATTACAGGGCCCTGATTTTTGTTCAGCCAAAGGCGGCGCGCCTGCCTTTTCGCCGAGGCGCCAGGCCTCAGCGCCCTCCATGTCCCCCAGCTTGGCGTGGCCCGACATCACCTCAGCGCCATCGGTCTGCGGAGGGACCCACGGGCCCACTGCTGCCTTCAGCCAGGGTCATGTGCCTAAGGATTGGGTTGAAGGGTCACTTGAAAGGTCGAATGTGAAAAAACTCCACATGGCAAAAAAAAACTTGAGAAGTAGGCCACCCAAAACCGCCCTCAAAAGTCCGCCCGAAAAATTCCACCCTGAAAAGACTTCATCAGGTGCTAAGTGGGAGGCTCGAATTGGTGGGCATTGAGCCCCACTTCCTTAAGCCAAATTGGCAGTCCCTAAGGTCCAAACCGAACCAACTGACCCAGACGCCCGAGCACACTTCTGTCTTGTTGTTGTCTTTCTTTTTCCTTTTGGGGACAGGGGAGGGGGGGGCAGTTGGCTTTAAAGGGAGAAAAATAAAACTCCAAAAAGGACAAAACAGGGCGCCAACCCCACCGCGTGGCAGAAAGAAGCCCGAGGAACCCTTTCAGAAAGAACAAAAAAAAAAAGGTTCTGCCCCAAAGTGCTGCAAGTGTCTTGTGCTCTGTGTTGTGTTCCATGTTCTTCTTTGTTGCTTGTTGTAAGTTGTTTGGGTGGGGCTCAAAAATAGGGGTCCAAAATGAAAACCCTGGTAAATGGAAGACTAGACCAAAACCTGCGTCACCCCCAGCTGGTTCAATTTGAAAACACACCCATGTCTTGCTTCGCAAAACTTCCCACAGGTCCAAAACTCGGCCGAGCCGCTGCGTGGAAATGGGCCTCCCAGATCGCTTCGCCCTGCTGCTCCAAGCGCTTCAACCACTCCGCGGCGCCTAACGGCAGCCCGCCCAACCCGAAAAGGGCGGCCGCTTGTCTCAGGTGCGTCCACCCCCTCCCCCGTGGCCCCAAACCAGGAGAAACCAACCAAAAGGTGCTCTTTCTTGTCATTGGGATGGGAAGACGAAATAGGGAACAACAACCAACAAATGGTGCTTCTTCTTCTTTTTGGGGGGGGACCCTCACACTGGTGGCATTCCCTTTGGTTGCCTTTACACCCCCAAAAATCATGGCCTGACAACACACACAAACGAACCCAGGTCCCAAGCGTCTTGGGGAACTAGTAAGCAAAGGCGCTGGTATTCAACAATGATCATGCTTGACCTGGAAAAGCAAAATGGCCAAGTTTGCTGAACTGAGGGCTCGATTTGCTTTGGGCAAGTGAGCTTGGGAAACCATGATTTCGTTCGGAACGCAAACAAAGGCCCTTGGTAAGGCCAGCACAAGGTTTTATTTGGGGCAACAATCCCTTCTCAAGGAGGCCATCAGCCACTTAGTAAGTGGCTAGCAACCTGAGTGTCAACCTTGCTAATTCTTATCCGCTGGGTAAGCTACTAGCCCAGGAATGTTGAGCACCTGCTAATCCGCCGATCTCCTCCTTGACTAAGCCCTTACAGGGCAGGTTGGGATGCGTTGATTCCGCCCCCAAAAGACTCAGTTGCACTTCAAAAGGCACTGGTGCCCATGCCCAAAAAAAAACACCCGGATTTGGAGGACAAGCCCAACCCCTTCTTGGGACAATACGAAACTAGCACAAAGAACCCTCTTCGCTGGGATGTCCTCCTCGCACCTCCCAATAGTTCCCCTCTCAAACTCACTCAACGGAAAAATGTGTTTAAACTGGCTCCAAATCGATGATGCTTTACAGCCACCCTTTAAGGAAAAAGGGTTCACCCAAAAAGTCGTTGCCATGTTGATTTACAGGGTGCTGAGGTATGCGCCCCAAATGTAGACCTTTGATGTACCCCTTCACCGCATCCCCCTAACGGCGAACAGCACCAGGTGTTCACGGGTCGGGACCTCGCCTTCGGTGTCTCCGGTGGCCCCCGCCACGCGGATCATCTGCAGATAGGTGGTGCCGTCGGGGGTGACGCCGTCCTCCTGTGGGACGATCTGACTCCGTTCTAAGTTTAGCCATGTGAACATACTGTTGGAAGAGACCGCAGTTCATCCATGCCACCCCTGACTCGTATGGTCCTCCGGAAATCGTCAGAAGCTGACATACCCTCCCCATGGAAGTTGGGCAAACACTGGGTACAAATACAGTACTGAAAGTTGACTTAAGTTTTTGGCTCGCTTTTCCTGACCTTGCGTGTCAGGCTATGAATAATGAAAGGGTATGACACAGTTGGCGCTGTTATTTTGGCCTGCCTCACAGCTAAAAACTCACCTCCTGAGTGGATTGGTCGCAAAGGTCCAAACTTGTTGTTTGCCACTAAAATGGTCATTAGCAAAAAAAAAAAAACATAAAGGGCAGCAACTCGGGAGTGAGAAAGGACTACTCTAAGAAAACAGACCGTGTTCCGCCTTTTAACGGCCATTGGCTCTCATGCGACTGCAACGTCGGCAAAGGCTCCGCCCTTCTCCCTTAGCAGAGCTCCTATTACCCTCAGGTTCTACAGGGTTTCCTTTGGTTTCCCCATGGTAACACGAGAAAGGAGAAAGGAAACCAAAGGAAGCCAAGCTTATTTTCTACCCTTGGCGAACCATCTTTTGGGAACAGCGGGGAGCAACCCGAGACGTGCGAATAAAACGTGAAACTAGCCCCATAGATGTAGATGGTCCCAACCATGGTAATAATCCACTGACCATTGGAAGTCCCCATTCTGTGGGAACCGTAACCATAGCGAATATCCATTCACGCCAAAGGAACACTCTTCAGGGTCTCGGAACTCCCCTCTCCCTCCTGCATCTTCTCGAGAAGGCTCTCGGCTTTTTCGACCTGCGCGACGCTTCCCAATTCACTCGTCCTTCGTCCGGGGATATGGACCCCCCCCAAAATCCGACTCCTTTTCTCCGCCCAAAGGACCCACAAGAAAACAAGGGGGACAAAGGCAGAAACAAAACCGGGCGGGCTGCGGGGCAGAAAATATTGTTTCACTGTGATGTTTATGGCCAACATGCGTGTTGTGGGCCACCTGTTTGGCCTGCAAAAACTGGTTGGCAGTTTGCTAGTTTGCCAGGTGAAAAGGCTTCGTCCAGCGACGAGATGCCAAGCTTGACCGCCAGAAATCCGGAAATGTCGGGAAATGCCTATAAACAGCGCTTCGGGTTTGTCTTTGGAGGCTACCCAAACTTGACTTGTCAGCCAAAACTACCTGAGCTTTTGCCCCCCAAAAAGAATATGTTTGATTCTGGTTCATAAACTTGTGCGCCTCAAATTGAAGATAGTCAAAAGAGACCAAACCAAAACTGTCTTCAGCTTTAACACCCTGCTGGCACGGGTGCCTTTTGCGCTTTGTGCTCGCCTGCCTGTGCCTCCGAAGCATAATGCTTCAGCAGCGTGTTGTATGCGAAGGTGTTGGATCGCTTGATCTTCACGTTCTCCAGCATACTCTGCAGCGCCCGTTCCTCGGATTCCGACCCAGACTCCAAGAGGGTTGTTTCGCGTTCTCCCGGATCCTGAATCCCTCGGATGTTACGCGTGATACTCACGTTTTGCCCGAATCGTTCTTTGGGGCAAGGAGGGTTTTAAGGTCCCCACACACCTGAAAGGTGAAAGTTCACCCCCCCCCCCCCGCCCCCAGTCATTCTTAGGGGCACTAGGGGGACTGCACCCCCCCCCCCCGAAGGCCAAGTATTGGCTTAAATGTTTTGGCAGCATGTCCTAAACAAGAATGTCGTTTCCCCAGGGCCCCGGCGGCACCAGGCAGGTCCTTGGCCTCCACGTAGCTCTGCACCAGCGCACCGTAGCCTCTGGCTCATCTGGTTTACCCCCGTCCCATTGGCGCGTGGAGGATCCATTTGAGGATTCTTTGAGGCGAAGGGTACCCGTTTCAAGTTGGTTAGGGAAACCAAGAGGAGAAAGAAGCCCGTTTTTGTTGGGGCTCGAAGGCCAATGCTGATACACACTATACAGGGTCTCCTCCAAAACTTTGTATGGTGTGTATATATACATGTGTATACATATATATATATATATATATATATTTGGTACCCCCCCCCCCAAACCCAGGTTTGGTCTGAAAACACTGGTATGTACTGTGTTTTCTGACAAAAAACCTGAATCTGCCAGAACCCTCAGTTGTCAGGCTGTTTTTCAGTTTTCAAGGAAGCTTTCTGGAAACTCTCTGGCAATTCCTCAATACAATTCAGACAAGAAACTCTCTGCAAAACTGAACAAACTGCAAAAAACTGAAAAAACTGAAAAAAAAACATGAAAAAATGAAAAACACTGAAAACAACTGAAAAAACTGAAAAACCAAGGATTCTGAGGGACATGACCCCCCCCAGCCATGTCCATCGGAATCCTTGGTTTTTTAGTTTTTTCAGTTTTTTCAGTTTTTTTTCAGTTTTTTTCAGTTTTTGTCTGTATTTTCAGTTTTTTCAGTTTTCCTTGGCATCTGAGCAGAACCGAGCCCATATTTGAAGCTGTCTGGCTCCAGTGCTTCCTTACTCCTCTTCTGCCCTTTGTTCTGACCCTGTCCTAGCATGGCCAAGGAGCCTGAGGATATGACCTTTGATGACCTCAAGAACGCATGCGACGCTTGCGTATTTTCTGAGTATTTTTCTTGTATTGCCCTGGTGACTTGTCCAGACAAATTGAGCCTCGTATTTCCTCAGCATTCTCCTAGCATTCCTAGTATGCTCCTTTAGTATTCCCCCAGTCTTCCTTGAGTATTTCCCTAGTATTGCCCTAGTCTTCCTTTAGTATTCTCCTGGTATGCCCCGAGTATTTCCTAGTAAGGGAATGGAAATACTAGGGGAATACCTTCAGTATTGCCCTAGTATTCCTTAAATATTCTCTTGGTATACCCCTAATATTCTCTCAGAATTCCCCTAGTATTCTCCCTGTGTTCACCTTTAATATTGCCCTAGTCTTTCTTGAGTATTTCCCTAGTATTGCCCTGGTATTCCTTTAGTATTCTCTTGGTGTGCCCCCAAGTATTTCCTAGTAAGGCAAGGGTAATACGAGGGGAATGCCTTCAGTATTGCCATAGTATTCCTTAAATATTCTCTTGGTATACCCCTAATATTCTCTCAAAATTCCCCTAGTATTCTCCCTGTGTTCACCTTTAATATTGCCCTAGTCTTTCTTGAGTATTTCCCTAGTATTGCCCTGGTATTCCTTTAGTATTCTCTTGGTGTGCCCCCAAGTATTTCCTAGTAAGGCAAGGGTAATACTAGGGGAATGCCTTCAGTATTGCCCTAGTATTCCTTACATATTCTCTTGGTATACCCCTAGTAGTCTCTCAGCATGTTCATAGTATTCTCCTAGTGTTCACCTTTAATATTGCCCTAGTATTCCCTGAGTATTTCCTTAGTACTGCCCTATGATTGCCCTAGTATTCCCATATTATTGCACTAGTATTCAGTTAATTTAGTAGTCTCTTGGTAAAGGGATGGAATTACTAGGGGAATACCTTGAGTATTGCCCTGGTATTCCTTAAGTATTCTGTTGGTATACCCCTAGTTTTCTCTCAGTATTCTCCTAGAATTCTTCCGGTATTCACCTATAAATATTTTCCTAGTACTTCCCTAGTAGTGCCCTAGTATTGCCCTAGTCAGGAAGCCTGAGAGAAGTCAGACAGATTGAGCTTGAGAGTATACCCCTAGTATTCCCTCAGTACTCCGGCGTATTATCCCAGTATTCACCTTGAATATTGCCCTCGTATTCCCTGAGTATGTACCTAGTATTGCCCTAGTATTCCCCTAGTATTGCGCTAGTATTCCTTTAGTATCTCTTGGTATACCCCTAGCTAGTGTTCCCTAAATATTTCACTAGTCAGGGAAGGGGAATATTAGGGGAATACCTTCAGTACTATCTAACTAACTAGGCAGCTAAATAGATAACTAACTGATTAGCCAATTAACTAGCTAACTGGCTTCAGAGCTCATTCATTACAACTATTTAACTGACTAATTTGCTGACTTGCTGACTGGTTGTTTGACTAACTAATTGAACTTGCCTTGAACTTGAAAAATATGCGTTTCGCAGAGGCGAAAATACACATGTTTCTCAAAAGTAGCATTTTCCCTAGTGATTTTGGCAATTGTCCAGGTTCAAAACCTGGGTTTTGGGGGGGGGGCTATATATATATATATATATATATATGTGTATACAAATCTATTTATTTTTATGTGTATGCGAATATATATATATATATATACATATAGGGTAGAATAAAAATGAAACATAATCTGAAAATAGTATGTGTGTGTGTGTTTGCTGTGTAGCGCAATGTGGGCCTTCCTTCTGAACCTCTGGGGGGTTCGGCAGGAGACGTTTGCTTTTTTACCCCCTGAAAAGGATTCGGCGGCATTTGACTGGGTTACAACTCTGCGCAATAAATGCCCAACCCGGTTCATGCAAAAGAATCGCAAGGAGTGGTGTGTTGCACCTATGACCTATGGGGAAGGGGACCTGCTACCCAGTAGCCTACCAAAATGAACCATACAAATAGACATCACACTTCGAAGTGGGCAGGTTTCGACAGACTGAAACTCAGGGGTGTTGTTCCCAGGACCTAGGGCCAAAGTCGAGCACCTCACATCCGCAACCCATCAACTTTGGCTCTACAAACCCTCAATCCACACAGGCTTACCCCTTGGGATCCCTGCAAAACTAGGTAACATGGATATGCCAATTGGACCAGTTTGGAACGACGCCGTAGACCCCACCCAAAATAGCCAATAGGGCGGTTGAGTGCCAAATGAGGTCTACTGGAATATGCAGGTTTGCGGTACAGGTTTGTTGAGGCCCTGCGCCAAACCCAAATCTGATGTGCTTTTTGATTGCCCGCAACCAATTGAGGCTAGAATCATCGTTATAGCTGGGCTAACTGGGTGAGTCTCCATACCGCAGTTACAGCCTACTTACAAAGAAGCTATCTGTGCGTTTCCTAAAACATAGTTCTAGCCTACTTTCCGACCCTCAGACCCCCAGTGTCTATGGACCACATGTTTGGTACTGGAGTGTATTGGAGGGTATTACTAGGGGCACACTTTTTGGGCTTCCCTTGTTGGCTTGGAGGGTAAAAGGGAAACCCCCTCCAACCCCAAAATCGGCAAAGCACAGGAGGTCTCGCCCATACCCGAGCCCTGAGTCCCTCATCGAGCGGCTGAACATGTCCGGAGCCACCCCGCGGGCGCGCATGCGCCGCATCCAGTACTCGGCCTTCAGGAAGTCCCCGCGCCGGCCGTAGCCGCGGAGCAGGGTGTTGTAACCTGTCTCACACCACTTCCTCTGGGCTGCCAGACCCAAACCCCCCGCCAAACCCGAAAAGCCCAATCTAACTGGTGGGTTAAATGGAAACCCCCGCCAAACCCGAAAAACCTAAAAACCCTCAGGGGAAGGCTGGCAACCGCTAAGTTTAGACAAGTTGGTGGTTTGGATTGGTGTGGGGAATTGAAAAGCTCCGCACAAGCAAAGGTAGCCAAGTCCCAACTACCAACTTAACCAGGCCCGCAGTGGCTTTCCATACAAAGGATTGGCACTCTCTTGGCCGGAAACTCCATCCAAAAAAATGAAAACAGGAAGCAACCCATTGGGTGTCTGGGGGCTCTCGGTGGTTCTAAACGTCGGCAAAGAAAACTGATTCCCCCAAAAGACTCTCATTTTTGGAGGGGTCTCACTTGAAGTCGGCGGGTTGCCGTGTGAATGCCTCTGCGGGGGATCGTGCGTGTGCTCCGGCTCGAGAATCGCAACGTTCAGCTACAAAAGTAGTATGCGAAGCGCGCTCCCGCAGCTCCGGCTGCAGAATCACAAGTTTTAGAGTACACCCGCCGCAGAAAAGCAAGAAGAATAAAGACTCGAGAAGAGAAGGTGCAAACGACAACGTAGTTTGTGTTTTTAGGATAGTAAAGTGACACCCGAAAAGTTGACAGGACAAGTTGGCAGGTGAAGCTACACTCGAAAAGTTGGAAGGACAAGTTCGCAGGTGAAGTAACACTTGAACAGTGGAAAAACAATAAAACTTGGAAAGTTGGCAGGACAAGTTTCCAGGCGAAGTAACTCTCGAAAAGTTGGTAGGAGAAGTTGGCAGGTGAACTAACTCTCGAAAAGTTGGGAGTTTGCAGCTGTGCTTAGAAGAAGAACCCTTTGCATACTTTTCGGGAAAAGAGAAAGAGACGGGAGGCTTAGTTGATTTGGTTGGAAAACAGGAAGCCAACAAAAAGCGCATGAGCTTGTGTTTCAAGCTCTTCAACACCAACTTCCTTTTGTTTCAACAAGTTGGATTGGAGGTCCAAAAGGTGAATGACAAAAGACTATGATCCAATGGGAGGGAAGTAGCACAAGCACCAGGGGCTCCCTATGTTACCCATGTTCTCTTGGGGGAGCATTCGTCCTTTTGACCGTGGCCTCACCTTGCACTATAGCAAGATCCATGGTGAAGTGTCTCCGCGATTCCTCATTTTCAGTTGCGTGAATGATAGCAATTTGACATTCAACCTCCCGACTGGACCCACTGAGCTACACAGGAAATACGATTCTTTGATTCTGTTGAATATTCAGCTTACCCTGATTTGTATCAAGGTTTCGGAGACCCTCAGCTGGTGTCAGCATGGAGTTTCGATCTGGTTGCTTTCGCTGGGACTTTTAGCAATCAAAGAGCCCTTCCGAGTGGATCGCTTTGGTCTGGGAGGAATCGCTACAGGGAGAGTAACCCTCTACCCACACAATGGGGACTTACAATCCCATGGGCTGGGTGGTTTATCAGCATGCTTAATTAGCAATCACGTAAGTCCCAGACCATCTCAGTGGAAAAAGCGACGTGCTCTTCAGGTACCCTCAAACGAGATCCACAAACACGGGTTTCGACAGTATGGCGAGTCCAGGCACATGAAAGGTGACATGCACGTACTTCTTAAGGGAACACACAGTGAAGAAACCTGAAAAAGGTGCTTTGGTTTCTTTTGATTAGTTGGTCACAAACCCCATCGCGGTCAAGGCACTCATGAGGTCCGGCTGGAAGATTCGGGTGAGCATGTCCTGCGGTCAAGCTTCAAACAACGGAGTGGGGCCATTTGGGTTTGTCTTGCACGTCTGAGCGAGTTGGATACCGGTCCTTGCGTTCCAAGCTGGGACACACGAGTTGAGCAGCCTCTTTTCACTCATTGAATCGGTTTGGAGTGCTGATTGGGCTTCATGCCACCTTCAATGACTTTCAAAAGGAGCGCAAAGGGGCTTATTTGTGGTTGGGACCTTCCCCTACCAACCATCATCTAGATTTTGATCGCGGCTCACCAGCTTGAGGAACAGTGTCAAAAGCCACCATATACAGGGAAAACACCCTTCGAAACGGTGGATTCCTAGAATAACGGAAGCACGGGCTCCTCTCGAGTTTGTGGATGTTCAATTCTCTCTTTGCTGAACAGGCCATGTGCCAGATCCCCAGGGAATCTGGAGATTCGTTTGTTACCAGTCATGGCCAGTAAGGAAAACATGGAACTGCGCCCTAAGCCATGGAAGGATGCGAAGGCAGAGGATCTGGGTACATTGCATTCACCAACCTGAAGTTCGAAAAGGGCCAAGAGAGGAACTAGCCATCATGGCCGAAGCTGTCGCACCAGACTTACACCCCCTGGCAAAAGTTGACTTTTGCCGGTTCAAAGGAAAAGGGAAGGAAAACCAAACTTAAAGCAAACGGGTTTACAAAGTCTGGCGGGAAAGGCGGCGTGGCTATAACATGCTACAACGATTTCATTTGGGCACGTCAAAATAGGGGCAACATGCAAATTCGGCAGTTTTCCTTTTGGTTTCCCTTCAAACAAATCTGAACACGGCACCCTCAGCTCCTTCAACCAGCTCTCAGCAGCTTTCGGGCGGTTGGCATTCACGTGCGCCTGAGCCACGGGAAACTGCAAGCCTCATTTGCACTTTCGCCCAGTGACCCCCAGCGAGTCACAGTCAAAGCCTGGCACTGAAGCGGCCTAGTGTTTCCAGTTGCAACTTTTTAGGTAACCAGAGTTGTTTGCCTTCAAGGTTTTACATGATGTTCTACTATAGCGATTTGCCTGGGAGCACTGGGTGGACTACCCAAAACCATGTGAAGAAACAATGTGTTTTTTGTCACACCTATTTATTGCAAGGGAACTATCCCTTACTAACCGTCACCTGCCCAGGTCTTAATTGTAGCTGGCGGAAAACATACTGCCACACGAAGGACCCATCAGCCGGCCCCAATCAGCTGTTGGGATTGGGAGTTACCCGCTACAAGAACAACAGCTCAAGTCCCCAAACACCCCGAGGCTATAAGAAACCAACCGTTGAGGGGGAGTCCTCGCCCTGGTGAAGCACAGCTGAGAGTTGGATACAAGAAAATGTGCCCTGATAGTTTGTTCTCCTACTTGGGGGCACCAAACCGCTTCTTTCACCGGTTCGTCGGCCCAATATTTGCAGGGCTTCAACTGGCGCGTCATCCTTTCTGCGACGCCAACGTGAGCCATTCCCACCACTACTTTGACACTTTATCAGGGCACTGGCAACCCAACCGGAACCGCGAAGGTGTCCTGATGATCCTAACTGTTTTGCTTGAAGGCACGGACAGCAACTGGCTCCTTGTATCTTCTAGGCGGTTCCACTATCCTGACGAAGAAGGGCCTTGAGCCGAAATGATAGCAATTGTGTGGAGACCATGTGTCAAGCAAAACCAGAGTAAAAACAAACAAACTTATTCTGATCGAATTTCTTCACGCGCCCTTGCCAATATGATGAATTTGCTGGCAGTAACTCCAGTTGCTTGCACCTGAAAAAGTATCCTTGTAGACCACTGACTGTGGTCCGTCCACTCTTGATCATCCAACTGCGCCAGTTGCTCTCCTTGGGTTCCTTCTTCTCGATGTTCACCACGAGTGGCCAGTTCCCGTCCATTCATCTGCATCTCGTTGTTCAGTTTTCTGCGGATGTGACCTTGCAATCTCAGAATATTTGAATGATGTCATCATCCATATTCTTGCATTCCTCCCAGGCAAGCTGTCGAAAATATGTTGTTGCGGTTGTTTCTGAGTCTGTGATGTAGTAGCATGTGCCGTGTTATGTCCTTGAGAGTGGCCGTGATATCGGTCCTATACTGAGTGTAGACACTGTGGCACATGGAGTACTCATGAAAAAAGGCGACGGTCATGCATGGTAGTCCTGCCCAATCTTGGAATTGTCTTCCAGGCGTGCCATCGTCGGACTCTTGAATTCTTCTCTGAGTGTACGTCAACGGTGTCAATCCATTGTGTCTTCCAAAACCTGTGATCTGGCAACCAGCTGGAAGCTGGTCCTTCTTGTAATCTCTCGTCTTCATGGAACTCCCAGTAGACGCGAGGTGTAAAAAGGACCGTCTTCTCCGCTTGTAGTCCAAGATAGCATCTGGAAATGCCCATCATAATGCTACACAAACAGTTCGCTCAGCGCTATGTCTTGTCAGAGGCTCAACTCGGCCGGCGTGTCTGATCTCCTTTCACCAAGCATCCGATTGCTCGAGCACACCTCGCTGTCTGACGCCCACAGTATGCCTTGGTATCCTGCTCAAACGAAGGCTTCACATTCGGAATAGCCTTGCGCGGAGTTCGCTTGCCGAGGGCACTATTCTGAGTGATTCGGATTGCTGTCCTTCTGGTAGACATGGGCCGGCTGATATGTCTCTCTGACTTGATGGACGACGCTGCTGAAACATAGCTTTGAGCTCTTGCGATTCTATGACGTCCTTTCTTTTGCGAATTTCTCCCTGTTGAATTCTTGTTGAAATCTTCAATGCGGCGCGTGTACTTTTCCGCGCTCTTCCGATTCAACACACTGCTTGAGAATGTGTCTATGCCTGGTAAGTTCTGCACACGACACGGGGCAGATGCAAGCTCGAAATTGGACCTCTTAGCGCAGCGGATGGCTGCAGCTGTGCTTGAACCCTTGCTTGGAGAAACTGCAGTGTTTGCGAAATCGCTAGCATCAAAACATTCCATGCGGCCTTGAGCAGTTTTGCCGCCGGTGGAGGCACGGCTAAATTTACACTTGTCGCCTCTCGTGCACTTGCCTTGCGCGAAGAAAGTGCACGGTGGCTTGTCACCCTTGTTGCCTTTAGGTCTCCGAAGCAGACTCTCAAACTTGGGCATGAACATGAAAACTCGTTGTTGCTTCTCCGACGGTTGAAAAAACTGAAGAATCTGTGAAGATACACATTCGTAGTTCCTGTCAGGCCGTTCTGCTTGAGTGTTCTTGAAGTAGTTAACTCCCTCAACGAGTTGTCTGAGCCGAGTGTTGCGCAATTCTCGATGCATGAGCGCATCGCCGCTCAATCTGCTCTTGAGACCCCATTTTTCTGGCTCCACTGATGCGAATGTAGTCCAACCATCTACGAGTTTCTCATACCTGTGCCGGCTGACACGTCCGCCGAACAATGGCGGCAGCTTGGCGGCCATTGACAAGCTGACTGTTTCCTCACCATTTCCCATCTGCCTGCCGGCTGCGGTAATAGGAGGCACGGACGGCAAATGGCCCCCTTTTATCTTCCAGGCTTGGCTAGTTGTACTATCCTGACGATGAAGGGCCTTGAGCCGAAATG